TCAAATCTTAAACTTGCTCTGCCCTGTTTCCTAGACCACTAGGATCATCCTGAGAGGCTGAAGAGTGGTGGCCCTTACAGGAATTATTCCTCACTTAGACTTCCTTCCCAGTACTGCTTCTTGGCCACTGTTGTACTGCATGTGGTCTAGCCTCTCACAACTATAAATGGCCTTGTGAGATGAAAAGTACTGACAGCCACAGGCCCTGTCTTGTGGTGTTTGCTGAAGCAGGAGAATACACATAAACTAGACAGCATGAAGGAATACATTTATAAATAAGCATTTTTTTTTTTTTTTTGGTTTTTCGAGACAGGGTTTCTCTGTATAGCCCGGGCTGTCCTGGAACTCACTCTGTAGACCAGGCTGGCCTCAAACTCAGAAATCCGCCTGCCTCTGCCTCCCAAGTGCTGGGATTAAAGGCGTGCGCCACCACCGCCTGGCATAAATAAGCATTTTAAATGCATAAATGATTGTCTCTGACAAGTTATTAATGACCCTGGAAGAGTATCCATCAACTAGACTATTTTAAAAGGGTTTAAGATAAAAGTTCATTTTGAAAAACCAAGGAAGGTAATAGGTAGCTGGCAAGTAAAGTACAGGGATTTTTCCAAGAGAGAACAGCTTTGGTTGGAGGGTAAGGTGTCTATAAGTGATCAGACAGGCCAAGGAGTCTGTGTCAGTGTGGTGTGAGTTAAAGTCTAAGGAGGAGATGTTACAGCCAGACCATAGGAAAAATCTGTACTGAGTCTTTAGTCACATAGTAAGCCACATGGGCCATATAAAGGCTTTTAGACACCCAACAAGGTGAAACATGTCATAACTGATTGGAAAGAAATTAGTAAAAGTATCTCTGTGAAGTCTCGAAGTCTAGCATTTCTTTTGTGTAGGTTCTGGCACAGCCTGCCCATAGCATACCTAGCTTCTAGGAAACATCAAAAGGGTATATAGTTTCTGATGATGATAAATGGGATAAAATTCCAGATCAGAGGGCAGGGGGGAGAGGGAAGGAGGGAGGAAGGAGGGAGGGAGGGAGGGAGGGAGGGAGGGAGAGAGAGAGAGAGAGAGAGAGAGAGAGAGAGAGAGAGAGAGAGAAGTTTAATGGTCACCAGCACTTGCTATTCTTTCAGAGGACCTGGGTTTGGTTCCTAGCATCCACACAGCAGCCCACATCTTTATCTATAACTCCAGTTCCAGAACGGACATCTTTTCTGGCCTCCTGAGGCACCAGGCATATATGTGGTGTATACATACATGTAATCAAAATACTAATACTTTAAAATAAATTTTAAAAAGAAAGCAATGAGACAGACTCATTCTTCCTATCCATATGACTTAAAAGGACAAAGAACAGGTCTGAGGAGCACACTATGCCAGAGGGTCTTCGTATTAAAAGGGACTCCAGGGTCATTTCATCAGCTCCTCCTGTCACCCCTCTACTGTCACTTTGGGTCTTCTGGTGGGTCCCTGGTGAGAGACCAGGGGTAAGCATTGGTGCCTTTAGCTTTTCAAGAATTGCTGATCTGGAATATGGGTGAAGCTTTCACCCAATGGGAAGAGCTGAAGCCTCCCTAGGGAGATGTGCCTAAGAAGCCTGGTTTTGCTAGGTGAGGATGGTACCTCTCTCCTTTCAGATACCTGATTAATAGGGGAGAACCCAGCTCACTGGGAGTGAGTCCATCCTTGGGCTGTTGCTTCTATTAGAAAGCAGGCTGAGCAAATCCATGGGGGAGCAAGCCAGTAAGCAGCATCCCTCCATGGCCTCTGCCTCCAGGTTCCCACCCTGGTTGAGTTCCTGTCCTGACTTTTATCAATGATGAATATTGATGTCGAAGTTTAAGCCTAATTCTTCTCCAACTTGCTTTGGTTGTGGTGTTTCATCACAGTAATAGTAACCCTAACTAGGACACACCCCACAAGAGTTTTTCTACCCTCTTTGGAGCACTGGTGAAGAAATCCAGACCTTCCACCTCCACCCTCTCCCTTTCTTCTCCTTTTCTCCCTACTCCAACAAATCTTCCCTTAAGACCAGGATACCATCAGTATACTCCTTACAAGACTCCTTTTCTTTCCTTGTGAACAGAGCTTCCGATTGCCAAACCTGATGTGATCTCTCAGTTGGAGCATAGGGAAGAACTAGAGAGGGATGTCTTGAAAGCAGCCAGTCCAGGTGAGTGACTCTTGGGGACAGTGGGAATATAACTCAGATGGTCACATAAGTACTTGTAGAGGAGCTATCCGGATTGCTTCTACCCATGGAAATGGCCACCTGGAGATCTGGTCTCTCCTGTTTTGTCCTCTAGCCCTGTGGAGACGATTATAAAGCCAGAATCAAATAAAATACTATGAAAAGGGATGGATATTTTAATGTTTCTAGTTCTTGCTTTGCAGAGGTTCCTGCAAACAACACGGCCTGCAGAGTGTCAATCTCTCAGAGATAAGAAGGCAGTCTGGGTCAACACAATTCAGTACTTAGTTTGTTTATTCAAACTTTATGATTTGTCTGTTGGTTCAAATTTCTAGATTCTGATCCCAAGTAATTATTTTAGTCATATTTTTGTTTTGTTTTGTTTTTTTCGAAACAGGGTTTCTCTGTATAGCCCTAGTTGTCCTGGAACTCACTCTGTAGACCAGGCTGGCCTCGAACTCAGAAATCCACCTGTCTCTGCCTCCCAAGTGCTGGGATTAAAGGCGTGCGCCACCACTGCCTGGCAGTTATTTTAGGCATATTTAAGCAAAGCACAGCTTGGGGAAAATTTTTTTGGTGATAATTAACTCACTCTTGTGTTTACAATAAAGCTAAAAAGCATGACTACATCAAAACTCTTTGTAACATACTTGTGACATCCATAAAGATGGGTTCTATAGACTGACTGAGAAGAACAAGCTAATGCTTAGGGTCTGGGAGAGGCTCTGATGTGGTCTCAGCTACACAGACAGTGCAAAGGACACGGGCTGTGCTCCCAGCCTTCTGGGTGAAAAACAGGCTATACATCTTTCCTTTGAAGAGACGATCCTGTATGTTTAACATTCCTGGCTTCCCCAGTGTTTATCTGTGAACACAGGGACCTTTATGCCCTTACATTGCTTGACTGTCTGTTTTTACATACTCTTTTATATTTGCAGGATAATGCTTTTCTTTTTCCATCTTAGTCACTGTCTTTTGATTTCTGTGTTCCTTATTCAAGCAGAGGCAGCATGGCATAGCGCTCGCTTTTCTACCCTCAGGTAGATTTGAAATCAGTCTTCTGGGTTCAAAGCTGGTCTTAGCTACTCAGTATTTCTGTGCTTTACCCTCTTTTGTGAGTCAAGGTTCCCATTCATAAAACAATATACTCTTAGGTCATTGTGGTGAAGATCAAATAGTTTAAGAAAATGTTTAGAACAGCCCCTTCCTATATGCTAAGCAAATGAATGTTATTGACTACCTATGGTATTTTTTTAATGATGTCATGGGTATTTTAAAATGATGTCATCTTAACTTTTGTCAAAATGAATTATTGCAACAGATTGCCAGCAAATTATATTTCTTTGATCTTGTCCACTACCTCATATATGATTCTGTTTCATTCTGTGTAGGCATACATTTTTTTTTGCAGCTGACTTTTAAAAGCCTCTCCTCTAGCCCACCACCCAGCAGTGGTAGTGGAAGAAAAAAGTTATTAGGATATGGGGGAAGTGGACCTGTTCAGCAATAGCTCTTTGATGGCGAGCTTGATCTTCTTTTGCAGCAGTTGAAAGCCGTGGAGGCAGCAAGCTGCCACAGGAACCTCACAAGCAGTTCATGGGCAAGTTTCTCTCAATGGTGTCATTACCACAAGTTGAGCTCAACAACAGTATGTAAAGTGAACCAATACGTGTGTGTCTTTAGCAAAGAATAGCGAAGTGGAGCAAACCAGACCAATGCTCAGTGCTTGTCCCCCACTGTCTGTGGGATCATATCTACACTCCTTCATCATGGGTCCTTTCACATTGTGATATCCAAACACCCTTTCACCTGTGTCTGCCTCAGGAAAACATTCTTTCATGTGTCTCCCTTAGTAAGACATCCTTTCACTTGTGTGCCCCAGCAGAACATCACTTGACATAACTAACTTTCCAAAGAGCTAGAAGTTTCCATTTCAGTTCTGTGTATTTTTTCTGGTTGGGAAAGATAGTAAGCAATCAGGGACTATCATGTTTTATTTATTTTTTGTTGTTTTTTTTGTTTTTTTTTTTTTTTAATTTTGTCTTGTTTTGTTTGTTTTTTTTGAGACAGGGTTTCTCTCTGTGTAGCCCTGGTTGTCCTGGAACTCACTCTATAGACCATGCTGGCCTTGAACTCAGAGATCCACCTGCCTCTGCCTCCCAAGTGCTGGGATTAAAGGCATGTGCTACCATGCCCAGTCATGTGTTTTCTAAATCCCAAGCTTTTTAATAATTTGAATTAGTAGATACATCCAACATTGAATACTAGCTTCTAGAATTTTCATCTTGCTTTGAAACAGTAGCAACCAATTTGTATGCGTGTGTGTGTGTGTGTGTGTGTGTAAAAGATTAGTTTTTAGTTACAGTTAGGACATGAGAGCATGGGAAAAAGTTATAGCAAGAAGGAAAATTAAAGATGGCCTTTGTTCGGGTATTCAGTGAAAGGCTGTGTGAATACAATGACTAAGTCTCTCTTAGAGGCTTCTTTTCTGGCTCCATCCTTGTGTCCCACAGACCCTTTTTTTGACTGTCAGCACTGAGAGGCTTTGTTCTGTTATTCTTCTTCACTTCCTACCTTGCTGACTAAAGCAGTGCTGCCCAGCTGCTCACCCCTTCCCTTTTTGCAGCGTCTTTTCTCAGTCAGCCATCTTTTTTTCTCACGCCCTCCCGACAGTACAAGGCTCTTTTTGAGAGCTTTGAAGCTTATGTGTTGTCTGCAAGCATTTTTCTTTGTTTTACTATTCTCTAGTGTAGAAGTTATTTTTCTCTGTGTATGTAATTTGTTTCTTTCAGAGTGGGAGACAATATCAGAAAGCATGAAGCTAACTCCAGAGAAGCTCTTCTCTGGAGAGGAACCATCCCCTGGAGTGTTACTGGACAGCTTTCCCGAGGAAAGGGCCAGGGACTGTGAAGACTCCATAGAAAATCGGCAGGGAAACCGTGAGAAGAGTCTTAAACGAGAGCTGGTCCCTCAGAAGAGACTTTCTGTGAAGAGAGGCTACCAACATGATGAATTTAGAAGGAATTTTAGTCACCGGTCACTGCCCGTTAAACACCCAGGAGAGAAACTTCATAATTGTGGTTCGCTTAAGAATTTTACAAATTCAGAAATGATTAAACAAGAGAAACCGTGTGCAGGGAGGAAACCTTGGCAATGTAAGGAGTGCGTGAAGGCATTCAGTTACTACTCAGCCTTCGTCCTGCATCAGAGAACTCACACTGGAGAAAAGCCCTACAAGTGTAACGAATGTGGGAGGGGCTTCAGCCAGAGCATACACCTTACCCTACACCAGCGGATTCACACTGGAGAGAAGCCCTATGAGTGTCTCGAGTGTGGGAAGGCCTTCAGCCACCGCTCAGCCCTTATTCGGCTTCACATAATCCACACGGGAGAGAAACCCTATGAGTGTAACGAGTGTGGCAAGGCCTTTAATCAGAGCTCCTATCTCACTCAACATCAGCGAATACATACGGGAGAAAAACCTTACGAGTGTAACGAATGTGGGAAGGCCTTCAGCCAAAGCACATTCCTCACCCAGCATCAGGTCATTCACACTGGAGAGAAACCCTATAAGTGTAACGAATGTGGCAGAGCTTTTAGTGACCGCTCAGGCCTCATTCAGCACCAGAGGACTCACACTGGGGAGAGGCCTTATGAGTGTAATGAGTGTGGGAAAGCCTTTGGCTACTGCTCAGCCCTGACACAGCACCAGAGAACACACACTGGGGAGAAGCCCTATAAATGTGGTGACTGTGCCACAGCCTTCAGTGACCGCTCAGCCCTTATTCAGCATCAGAGAACACACACTGGGGAGAAGCCTTATAAATGCAAGGACTGTGAAAAAGCTTTCAGCCAGAGCTCATCTCTTACAAAACACCAGAAAACCCACACTGGAGAAAAACCCTATAAGTGTAAAGAATGTGGAAAAGCTTTTAGCCAGAATTCATCTCTTTCTCAACATCAGAAAACTCATGCTAGGGGGAACAACAAGGCATATGGACAAGCCTTTAGTGAGTATTCAGTCTATGGTCAACAAAAGAGAATCCACACTGGATAAGTGTAGTACATTCAAGGGTATTTTTGTTTGGTTGGTTGGTTTTGAGCATTTGTCATATGTTCTGAGAGCTACAAAGAATTTTAGGACTGTTATCTTAAAAGTTATTGAAATAGCTGCTGATGTGGGGCACAACCCACTAGACTGTGAAAGGAGGTTTTATATTTTAAAAATATTTCCTGAATGGAAAACAGAAATTCACTTCCAAAATCCTAATGTGTATGAACACTGCCAAATCTGTGAGAGAGTAGGGTATACATTGAAGAAAGAAGACATTTACTTGTGGTACATAGTCCCTTGATGAGGAGGAGATAAATTCTAAGGAGATAAATGGCCATTTTAGGAATAGATACAAAGGACTGAGAAGTCATGATGAGTTTGCCCAGGATCAGAGATGGTAGAACAGTTGTCCTTCAGCCTTAAGTCAAAGAACACAAAGAAAGTAGACAGAAAGAACAGGGGAAAGAGTTGAGACGTGACCCCAGGAAGTGTGGGTTGTAGTAACTGAGTGTTGACAACCAGAAAAAAATAGTAGACTTGACAGCTGCTGTGTTGCCAAGCTCATGGGGGGGGGGCAGCTTTGCCCCAAGCCGAGCAACAGCGGCTTGAGGGCCTGCTGCTGCACTGCTTGTCTCTGTGTCTTGATTAGTAAGAGTCTTCTGGGAATCTTCTTAATCCCAAGGCTGAAGACTTACAGCTCAGTCAGTTTACGAAAGAGGACTTTGAGATGCTCAGTGTGTTATAAACTGTCTGAGTTACCCGAGAATATTTATTTATAAAAATTTACTTCAATTGTAAGTTGTTTGTACCTTGAAGTTCTTTATGTCCTAGAAAATGTAATTGTAGATTTGCACTGACGTTGCGTTGATTGTGAGAACCGTGACTGAGAAGCTTGCCTCTCTCCAGTATACTTTTGGAGTAGTGCCAGGCGACTTTGTGTGTACACACTTTTGATTGAAAATTTGAAGGCTAGTATTGGAAACATTATTTGGCTGTAGCAGTTTTATCTTTGGGTTCCACTATGCTGTTATCTTCGTGTGGATTTCCTTGAGTGGGTATCTTTTTGTCGTTGTTGAGATGCTTCAATCATAGGTCAAGTCTGAGGAATTTTCAGCCTGACACCATTTCTTCAAAATGCATTTTTAGCCCACTACCCTACCTGTTCTTTGTTTCTGATTTTGGAGGGCAGAATCATTAGCTCCGATTGGAGTTTTACAGGTTTCTAAGACTCTGTTCATCTTTTTAAGTCCATTTTTTAAAATTAGTCTTCTGGATCTGCTGAAACAGAATCTCTTAGGTGACCTAAGGATAGTGTCTCTCAGAGTCCTGGAGCTTGAGGAGTCATCTGACCCCATTTCCTGCCAGGCTTCTTTTCCTGACTCACAGACTTTCAAAAGGCTTTTCCATTTTTGGTTTTCTTGTCAGATAGTCTATGTAGCTGAAGATGTTCTTGGGCTCCTCATCCTCCTGCACCCCCTGTCAAATGCTGGTATTATAGGCGTGCACCGTCATTTGATGACTTATGACTGTCTTCTCAGTGTGTCTTCACACAGACTATTGTTGGTTCATGTGCTGATAACGTAAAGAGAGAGGCATCAGTCCCATTGGATTAGAACCCTATCCTTAGAATCTCAATTAGCCTTAATTACCTCTGGAAAGCCCTGTTTCTAATTCATTTTGCACTAGGAGCTAGATCTTCATAAACATGTTTAAGGAGACACAGTTTATTCCTTGTCACGACGCTGCTCCTGCTGCTTCCCACCAAATCCATGTCCATGTATGGCGTGTGTTCACTCTGCTCCAGCATCTCCCAAAGTCTGATGTTCCAGCCCCAGCTGTAAAGTCTGAAGTCCAGAGTTTGGTCTTTCACCTGAATCAGATATAACTGAGATGCTTGATTATCCAACCTAAGCCATGAACCTGTGAGGCTAAGTAAGTTATATACTTCTAAAATACTATGGCAGGACAGACATTCCTGCACCAAAGGATAGAGATGCCAATGAAGGAATGGGTGATGGATACCAAGCAAGTTCAAAACTTAGAGAATTCCACTAGACTGTAAGATATAAGAATAGTCCCTTTTGGTTTTATTCATAGCCTATGGACCTGTTGGTGAGGCAATCCTTCCTTTATGGCTCTTCCAGATCGCTCCATCCCCAGTCTTGGCTGTCATGTTTAAGTTTAAGGCCATTTTGCCTGTTGAAACCAAGCTAAACAACTTGAATTTGCTTACGAGCTATGCCAATCATTGTATTAGCCCATGAGCTATGCCCATCATTGTATTAATCCATGAGCT